ATGTGTATATATATATTTTTCTATTTACAATAGAATACAGTATAATATTCTGGTTAAAAAAATTATCAGCCAAAGTTTTGGATGGTCCATCTGAAAGGCATTACAGAAATTTTTTTTTTTTTAACCACACTGAATCTTACAGGAACAGGATGTGATGTCCCAGGTGAAAACATGAAGGAAGGAATACAGCAGGAAGGAATAATTCCACCTTATTTATTACCTAGAATTTGCTTTCATTGTCCTTTGCCCTAACACTGTGAAATAATTACAACTGTCGTTTATAGTGCATCCCTGCTAGGTGGCCATCCAAATCTGCGTGAAAACCTCCAGCACCACGTAATAACCATTATCCACCATGACCCCGAGTCATTGTTAAATAGCTTTACCTGTTGCAACTTTTAAGTTTTATTTGTTTATATTGTATATATTTTGAAAATATTTGAAATGAGCTAGAATCAAGGGCAAGATAAAATAACAAAACCATTCAAGTATGATTCAATATGTAGATGGCAATTACGGAATGCCAGGAAACTGCAGATAAAGGAGGCTATTGTATTTGAGTAAAGGAAGTAATCTTGAGATTATTGGCACCAATAGACAAAGAGAAACCCTAAACCTTCTGATCTAATGGAAGGGAGTAGATCATATTTTTAAGGGTGGCAAATATTCTCCTAACTCTGTTCTATGAGGAATTATCACAAAGCTTTTTACACAATGTACATTTTGAAAGGTATAATGAATCATGGTTCCTTGCCAGATATTTTACCAGAAATGTGAGTACATTTCTTATAACATCCCTTAATAGAAACTGGATTCTAGGTGGGTTTTTAAAAAATACTAGGTAAATAGTATTTACTTTCTTAAGCCAATTTTCAGTTGTGCTGTCCCAGATAAAAGAAAGATGGAAGAGGTCTCAAAGTGAATTTAATTTTTTTCTACCCTAAGGAGAACAATGAATGACATTGGTAGCCTTCCCAGTCAACTCCTATTAGAGAGGAGGGAAATTCACATAGACTGGTTGGTTCTTTTGCACAGCTATGCCCAATTTTCTCTGGTTCCAGTGATTTTCCTGTGTAGACCATTGCAAGGTAGAACCTGGGGGCATTTCAGAGGTCTCAGGTTTTGACCACAGCTTTGGATGCAATGGTAGAGGGGAGTACCGTCCAGAGACCCTATATAGATGCTCAGATACCAAACGCTAGGGATTGAGTGGAAGAGGTAAAGAGATCTGTAATACCATCTCTTTAGGATCTCCTGCCTGCATTTTTTTGCTGTTGTCTTTTGTACAGAAGATTGATTCTTTGTCGAAAGGAAGCCAGCATTGCAAATCTTTTCTGTAGGTTTTCAAATGGTATCTAAATTGATCCAAGTATGAATCCTTCTGGAGATCACACCGAAGTCTAGAAGTAGAATTATTTGTATATTATGCTATAAATGATCTCCAGTTGTTGTGTGTGTGTATTTTTAAAAATAACTCCATAACCAGGATGGTATGTTGGTAATATTCAATGTGACACTCAGTTCTCAAGAACATTTCTTGGGACATGGATATCCATGTTATAAAAGGCTGCCTGGCTGATGCTGGAATTAGAATATAGGGAGGTAGATGAGCTTAACGCACGGTCATCAATTCAGTTAGTTTTATTTTCCGTTAGCTAACTGGCATAAAATTCAAATTTTAGATCCTTCATGCTGCCTAGAATACAGGCATTTTGTTCCATCAATTCAAAAGGGATCCATACCCTGTAGAAAATAGTTAAGAAATAATTGAATATAAGAGGTCACCCCACCCAGCTGAGAGTTTTTCACCTCCATACAGAACTGAGACCAAGCGGGGCCAAGCCTTTCCTCAAATTATAGCTATGGATTTGATCAAGAGCAGCCTAGACACATAGTCAGTTGAGAAACCAAAGCTTTGTTTCATAAAATGAAGAACAGACTACTGCATGGTGATAGACCTTAAGCAATATCATCTACAGAAGAGATGAACATAGAAATCTGTTCTGAGCTGAAGAGAAATTCTCCAGTCAGAATGAGAGACAGCAATGCTGGCAGTGGGATGTCAGGCAAAGACAGCAGCTCAGCTTTTATTTACTCTTTCATTTGTTCACTCACTCATGAATCAAACACAAAATGAGTATTTTCTATCAAGGGGGGATTCTTCTAGACATTGATGTGAACTCCTCTGGGTGCTTGAAACAGTATGACAAAAATACATGAAGGTCTGAGTCAAACAGAAGTGGGCTTGGAAAAGAAGATTGGGTTGAATTATAGAGAAATTTGAATGTCAGACTTGAACACGAGGGTTTAGTCTTGATTCTGCAGACAGTGGAGGAGAAGGGGGATCCTATTTTAAATAGAGGAATGACAATATGTGGAGCTGTGCCAAGATCTATTGGAAAAAGAAAAGATCTGTGGTGTGAACTCAGGGGTGAGGAGGTCTATCACACTTGTTTGTGTTATAGGTAGTTACAGCTGGAACTAGAGGTAGGGACGAAATTACTAAAGGAAAAAAAAAATAGAATAGGAAAAAGATAGAACCTTGGGAAATAATTACATGTTAGGACAGCAGGAGATAAGACAGAGGAGAGCTTGGGGGCAGGATCAGGGAATAGAAGGGAAGGGAGAAGAAATGGGTAGGAAATATCAGAAAGAGAAACAGAACATAAAGACTCCTAACTCTGGGAAACAAACTAGGGGTGGTGGAAGGGGAGGATGGCGGGGGGTGGGGGTGAATGGGTGACGGGCACTGAGGGGGGCACTTGATGGGATGAGCGCTGGGTGTTATTCCGTATGTTGGCAAATTGAACACCAATAAAAAATAAATTTATTATTTTTAAAAAAAAGATGCCAAAGGAGGAGGAAGTTTCCGGAAGTTTCCAGAATATAGAAGCTAGTTAGTTAATGGTGCTTTGCTTTTGTGTAACCAAGGAATACAAGGATTGAGAAATGGCTATTTGAATTAGATGCTGGAAGATCCTTGGCGACTTTTTAAAGAGCAGATGAAGGAGTAAGTGGAAAATGAGAACTGAAGGCAGTAAATATATTCTACTTTTTTTGAGAGTTAGATCATGAAATGAAGGAGAGTAGTTTGAGAGAACATTAATTTTGTCATTAGAGATTCTTTGGTTGTAAGTAATCAAAAAAGCAACCTTTTTAACTAAAGAATCTGCAGGTGTAGTACAGTTTCAGGCATGGATAGATTCAGGGTTCAATCAATGCCATTAGTATTTCCTAGTTTGACTCTGCTTTTTTGCTGTGTGGTGGCTTCTTTTCCAGGTTCCCTGTGGTGGCAAGCTAGCTGTAGTACCTTCAGCTTCATATCTTCCCAAGTTCAAATCCAGTGAAATCAAAAGAGAAGGCTTGTACCTAGCTGCTTATGTCAAGTCTTAGAATTAGCTCTGATTGGGCTTGGATTGGCTAGACTGGAGTCAAGGGCCCATTCCTGATAAGAATGGAGTTCACTCACGGGTCCAGGCCTGGAGATGAAGCCCTAAGGAAGCACATGGACCAAGAATGGGAAATGGCATGGTTCCTGGGAGGAAAATCAAAGAACTCTTGATAGAGAGAGAAGAATGGCAGTCAGTAGCAAAAAGGAGCATCCAAACACTAGGTCCAAAAGAAGATAGCTGACCAATGGAGGCCTGGAGCACACAGGAGGGAATGCTACCAAGTTACAATGTATGAAATCCATTTCCAAAGAAGGAAGCATTCTCATTTCTGAGATGGAAGAGAAGATAACAAAAAATGACACATAAACAATTTGATAGGTGGGGGGTGGGGAGTGGAGGGTGCATCTGTTCAATAGTTTCCATTTTCAAGTAGACACTCAAGAGAGGGAATAGGTAGTGTTGATTCTTTTTGAAGAATTATTTCTATCTATTGCACCGATTATGTTGCAACAAATACACAATAGATAGAAGCTGAAAATGAAATAGCTAGCCTATCAACTGCTTTCATTTTTTATATTGTAGACATAATCTTCACAAAGTTTAAGCATGAATATTTTTGCTTTCCATATGTTCTTCCCAACTCTTTAATTGTATACTGTTTCATAGGGTAGATGTATCACAAATCACTTTGCAATTCTGCTAGAAAAGACATTCAGCTTGTTTTGTATTTTATTAGGAGTAATGCTACAATTACTATACCCTTAGCTGCTTATTTTCCCTTTAGGTATTTCTGTAGCAAAAGTTCCCAAGAGTGGATAATTGAGTGAAAGGAAATAGTTTGTTCCTCTTATTTGTACTGTAAAGCCAGTGTGTGTACAGTTGTCAGTGCTCCCAGCCATATGTGGAATTACTGGTTTCATTAAACAGGAAGTACTTTAGACATTTTATTTCATTAATATCTGCATGATAACAACTACCACAATGTGCCAGCACTTAACACACGTTAGGATGGATCTGCAAACGTGAGTCACATTAATTCATTTCTTATTTCACATTAATTCTCCCAACACCCCATGAAGGGAAAAACTTGTGACGATCTTTGTTTTTACAGATAAGGAAACTATGACCAAAGAGAATTTTTAAGTAAAATGCTAGAAAGTAGCAGAACAGGTCTTTGAACCACAGAAACCTGAATCCAGAGCCTGCATGCTCAACCACTAGGCTAATCCTGCCTTGAGACTGTTTGATTAACATTTCCCCAGGCATTGCTAACAATCTCTATGCATTTGTGTGAGAATTTCATCATGTCCTTTTCTGTAAGATTCTTTTTTTGATGGTTCTGCCCCCAACAAAAGGGAGAAGATAGGGATGAGATGAGATATTTCTTATGGATTTGGATATCTCATATGGTCTGAATGAGGAGATTTATTATAATTCATGCATTTTTGTGTGCACCTTGCCAATAATGGAAAGTGCGGAAACTAAGAGTTACATTGCTATATATTAAAAATAAATGCAGTTGTTTCATCCATCCTGGATACCTCAGGCCTTTTTTTAAGATTCTGATGATTCTATAATTCAACTCTGCCAGTTACCATGGAAACATACCTTCTGGGTCTGCTTGAACATCTGAAATGTGGGTACTGCTTTGACGTGATAAATTTGGGCCAACTCCTGGGAAAGGAAAGAAATGGCATGAAGTCATAATGTTGGTATCCTCTCTCTACACCGAGCCCAGAACCTGGTGACTTCTCAGGAGGCATTTCTGAAAGCCCAGGGACAGCTAACACTTTACAGATTCTCCTGCCAAGGAATGTCAAAGCCTCCAGGAATGTTACAATAGAAAATGGTTGCTCTCCGCATTCCTGAGCTTTCTCAACCCAGAGCCCTAGGAGAGGGCGAGAGATGGAGGCCAAAATAGAACAGATGCTGAAGGACTAAATGAGCTCTATTTAAATGAACTTGTGAAAGATTGCAGAAGGACCCCAGTGGGACTCAATATGGAAATAGCACATTGCAAAAATAAGGAAGTATAAAGATATCTCTATAAGGCACACTTGAGACATGGGGTAATACACTAGTCTTGCTTTTTTTTTTTTTAAAGATTTTATTTATTCATTCATAACACACACACACACACACACACACAGAGAGAGAGAGAGAGAGAGAGAGAGAGAGAGGCAGAGAGGCAGAGACATAAGCAGGCTTATATGGAGCCTGACGTGGGACTCGATCCTGTGTCTCCAGGATCACACCCTGGGCTGAAGGCGGCACTAAACCTCTGAGCCACCCAGGCTGCCCTGGTCTTGCATTTTAAGTAAGGCTTACATGTCTTTTTCTTTTAAACCCTTCTCCCTCCTCCACTGTCCATATCTTTCTGAAAGATGAACCAAAAGACAAGAAAATATGTCAGAATTCCAATTGTTTTAATCCACTACAATCTGCTTTCAAATGCCAGTTTTTGTTTATCTTGTTCAAGAGTCAAAAGAAAATTAGCCACCCACATGATCAACAGAACTGGACTTTTCTCTGTATATACCTATCATTTCATGGGGTGAATCTCTCCCCTGCCACCTATAACGTGCACAAACATTAAATTATAATTTTCACGACCACAGCAATGGTAACTAAAATAAATAAATTATTGTTAAATAAAAGTGTGCATTTTGTTCCACCTTAAAAGGAAAAGAGCTCTAGTAAAAAAGGCAGACAATAACATGTGTTGGTGAGGATGTGGAGAAATCAGAACCCTCACACATTGCTGGTAGAAATACAAAATGGTGTAGCCACATTAGCAAACATTTTGCCAATTCCTCCAAAAGTGAAACACAGAGTTACAATATAACTCAACAGTTCCACTGCTAGATAAGTACTCAAGGGAAATGAAAAAAATATATACGTTTATGCCAGTATTACCCATAAAACTCAAAAGGTGCAAACAACCCAAGTGTCCATCAACAGTTGAATGGCTAAATAAAAGGTGGTGAAGCCATACAATGGAATATTATTCAGCCATAAAAAGGAATAAAATGATGCATGCTATTACATGGGGAACCTTGAAAACTTAGGCTAAATGAAAGAAGCTAGTCACAAATGACCACCTATACAATGATTCCATTTATATGAAATGTTCAGAATAAGCAAATCTATAGACAGAACATGACTTGTGGTTGCCCAGAGTTGGGATAGAAGGAACTGGGAGTGACCATTAGAACTCCAAAAGTGGGGTGTTTTCTTTTGAAATAAAATTCATTACAGTGATGGTTGCGCAACTCGGAATATATAAAAAAAAAGGACAAAGAGATAATGATTCTAGTATATTCTGAATGCACAGCTTTTCTGTGTTCTGAATTCTGAATGGTTCAGCTTAAAAGGCAATTAAACACTGTCTCACTTTGATGAAGCTTGATGGAAATGGAGACATGGAACTTCTATTATGTGCTGGACACTATGTCATGCATCTTATGTATTTTAGCTCATTTTATATTTTGTTAAATATTACTTGCCCTGTTTTATAGATGAAGAAACTAAAGTTTATAGAGGTGATAAGAAGTTACAAAACTATTAAAGAAAAAGATGGGTGAATAACAGGATTTTTTTTTTGTATTCTCAAAGTCAGATTCAATCCAATATGTACATAGTTCACTTGTTACTGTTTTTTTCCTAGTTATAAATGGGCAAATGTTAGGAAGAATAGTTTTTCAGATATTTTGTGTATATTAATAAGGCACATTTTGACTGAGGACATGAGGTTGATTATTTTTGCGGGGGGTGAGGAAAGGTTTCTAGGGAGGGTCATGAGGGAAGGATTTCTTGGAATTCCTTGTGGTGTTTAAAAAAACTCACAAAAAGCATAAGGTATAGCAAGAGGAAAGCAAGGTAAATTAAAATGTCTGTATTGCATTCGGTTAGGTTTTAGAAATGGATTAAAAACGTACTACAAGGGTGAAAAAACACTTTCCATCTTGAGCCCAACATCACCCAACTGGTATTGTCTGCATAGAGCAATTCTGCTGAGCCCAGGGCAAGTGGAGAAAATGTTAGGATTGAGTGGTGAAGTCTGCCATAGTACGGGAGGGGATGGGGGCAGCAAGCAAGAGAGTCACATTCTTGCTGGGGATTTTTTGTTTTTAAAATTAATACAAAATATACAAGGACATGATGAGAAAGTTTACTGCAATTTATCAGGAGAAAAATCATGAAATTCCACTAGACATGAAATTCCACTAGACTTGAAATCACCGAGGCAGTGCTGTCAATGACATGCATTTGGGGTTTTATGTATCCTCATGGAAGGATTTATGATTCTTACCTGAGAAGCATCCACATCCACATTAGCAAACATTACATTTTGGTATTTCAGAGACATTGCCTTCAAAATAAAGGAATAAAAATTTCCTATTAGCCTAGCATTAGTACTAAATCACACGTTAGGATTACACACATGTCTTTTGGCAAAAGCAAACAATGAACAAAAAGGTTGTTCAAGAGAGCTAAGCATCACTCTGGCATTCCACTACTGCCTAGGACCTGAAGCACCAAAGTCAAATGTGGGATGATACCAAGGTCAAGCAAGGATCAGTGGAGTCTAAACCAGAGTCTAAAGAATCAGAGTTTCAAAGCTGGGAAAGGACAGAAAGCAAAGAAATAATGTCATATATGTCATGTAAATGCCAGATTTACTCTGCAGGGTGGAGGGACAGATGGTAGCTTTGTCCTGGAGTGGCCAGAGGTCAGGGGCTGCCTTCAGTGGTCTTCAAAACACAGATCTCTGAACCAAATACCCAAACTCTGCTTTTACCTTCATCTCTTGCCAGGCTTTTTGAGAGACTCCTTAAGAGGACTAAGGTGATACAAAATATGTGTGCAAACCCTCAGCCTTGCTGCTTTTTTTTGCTTCTATTGACATCTTCCGCGTTCTACTATGTATTGAAACTGTACTTTCCAGGATCCTCTGCCAGCTGTCTTCCATGTAGGTTCTGCTAATGGGAAGCATTTGTAGGAAAACAGACAGTGGGAGGAGGAAAGAAGCAACTCTTCTGCTTCTGTTTGGTTCTAAAAGCATCTTTGGCAGCAGTGGTGACAAAGATGTTGGTAACGGGTCTGGGAGTAGTGGATGCAGTGGCAGCAGCCTGTGGATGTCAGCTCTTGGGTTTTTTTTTCAGACAGTTGTGTTCATACTTTAAGGACACTTACTAGCTTCTTGATTTGTTTGCTTTACATTTCTCAAGCATTTCCGGTGACCTATTTCAAATGGGATCTCTTTCTGAGGGGATGAGGTGTCCAAAGACAAGTGGAGACAGGAACAGATGGAGCTGGCTCTGGGAGCTGCTCCCATGGAGAAGCAGAGAGAAGCATGGGATGGGGTGATGAGGTGGCTATGTGCAGAGTTCTGTTGTAGAGATGCTTTCCAGTTGTTCGTGGATCGTGACCAAAGTGGAAGTTCTTTCTTCAGCGGCTCATCAAGGTTGTAAAAATGGGGGAAAACTCTCTAGAAAACTCTAGAGTTTTCTCTTAGAGTTTCTCTTGGGGGAAAACCCAAAAGCCTTTTCAGAATATTTTTCACACAGAAAAGAAGCTGATTTTGGTCAGTGGCATCCCTATGTCTGGCAGGAAAATGGTATCACCCATGAACTCCAGGGCAACTGATTTGTACTTTTTGAGTTTGAAGACATACGGATGTTCCCCAGTAGAAGTCGCAGGAATGAGTTTGACTGATGTGGACATCTAATTGTATTTATGAAGTTTTGAGAGGCTGGCAAGTCTGTTGGAAAATGGACAGGAAATGGCAGTTGCCATTTTCGCATCAAGTAGTACATATACATGGAAGACATATGGGTTCTTTGCAAGGCCGGGGTTCCCCTATGGACATTGTGTTTCCTCATTATCCCATTCCACCCCCTAGGACCCCCTCCCCTCCCCTAAGAACTCTTCCTTCTGCTCTGTTCTTCCTCATAAGCAGTTGGCTACCATTTAGTTACCTATTCTATTGGTCTTAACGCTAAAATAGCTCCTGAATTTGATCCTTCCTTTTTTTCTCCAAAACCACTGTCCTAGTTTTGGAAAACCTATCATTGAGATTGCTGTTACCTTGGGTTTCCTGCCTTCAGTCTTTCTAACCCATTTTTATACAGCATAGCTAAAAATATTCTCTAAAACCTCCCTTTGACCATGACAAAACCCTTAAAAAATTTTTCCGTTTGGACTATCTACAGCAACTCACTAAATTATAACATGAAGTCCTTCTTGATTTGGCCTCAACTTTCCTTTTGAAGCTCATTTGTCACCACTCCCACATGTGCCCTGTAAGTCAGCCTCACAGATTATTTGCCTTCCCCTGATCATACCATGCAATTTCTTAACAAATTTGTGACTTCTCCTTTCCCAGAAATGTTCTTTTCAGGGTTCTATGCCTGGTGATCTTCTTAGCCCACGGTCAGCAAACTGCACCATATCGAACAAATCCAGGTCCCCACATGGTCTTGTAAATTAAATTTGATCAGAACACAGTTTGCCTGTTGATTTGCTCATTGCCACTGGATGCTTCTCCACTACAACAGTGAAGCCAAGTAGTTATCACAGAAGACCACTGGGCCACAAACCTGAAAACATTGACTGTCTTGTCCTTGACAGAAGTTTAGTTGGCTAACTTCCGTTCCACTTTCCTGCAGAGCCTTGAAAGGAAAAGATTCCTTGGACTCCCTTGTAGCTAGAGTTCTGGATGCAACTTGGTTTTACCCACAAGATACATGTAGGAGAGACACTGGAAGGCAGAAATGAGACAGCAGCTACTTTCTTCTTGCCTTTGGATGTTCCTGCTGGAAATCAAGACTCTGAGTAATGGAGGTGGTTGTGCTGAAGGCAGCAGCAGAAGCCAGACTCAGGCTCTGGTGCCCAGACATTAGCTTCCCAGATGTCCAGAGGCACTTGCGGCAGCAGGAGCCTCCTGATTGCAGTTCTCATTCTGAGCTGCTGCTGCTCTGTTATCAGTTTGTTTGTTTGTTTTTCCTGGGGTGTCGGGGGGAGGTAAAAGGAGGATCCCCAAAGGTGGGTCTGTGGTGTCTTGAGACAGTCATGCATAGAACCTATTCGTTTAGTCTTCCAATAATTTTATAAGCAATCAATTCCTTGTATTAAAATTCTTTTCTGTTTAATTTGCTTTCTGCTGCCTGCTTTGATATCTGACTAATAAAGTGACCTAGAGTAAATAAAGCCTTTTCTCCACCCCCTTATGTACAGGCAGTTTCAAAAAATTACACATATGGTACTTGGATACATTATCATGCAAAAGCTCAAACAGCATGAGAAAAATAAAGGAATCCAAATTTAATACGCTTTCACTGAAAAAAAAAGCTTCTTTGATATGCATCCTCTGTTCCCCCTTTCTCTACATATATGTGTGTTTGTATATGTATATACATACGTGTATGTGTCTGTTTTATATAAATGGGACCATACTATATACATTTTTCTATGTTATACCCTTTTTACTTAATACTACATTGTCTTGGAGACAATGCCACCATTCCATATGGGTCTACTTGATTCTTTTTAACATCTGGATAGTATTTCAGTAAGGATGTACCAAAATTTATTTTAAAACTGTATTTGCATTAATCTGGATTCCAACAGGAAACAGATGGCACATTCAAATTAGGATCATTTGGGGAGGTTTGTCTCCAAAGGGCTAACTGTATCTATCAAAGTGAGAATAGGTGTAGGAAGACCTGCAGGAGCCTCTACAGAACAATGGCAGGGCAAAGGTATGAAGGAAGGAGTTAGTAAGCCTTAGATTTCATTGCACTGTCTGAAACTGTTGCATGTTGGCTGTTGGAATTTGATCCGCTTTGACTGTGGCGTGTGAATATATTTAAACTCTGGAAGCTGAACATCGAAAATTTTTCTTTCTTCAAGTTTTGAGTATCAGAATAAAGGGGCCTGTGAGATAATAAAATGTTTCTTCTGGACATTCCTAGAGTTTTAGGCGTAGAATGGATGTTGAGATGTCATGTAGCCAATTTCTGTACTTGGATATGGGTTTGTTTTTAATTCAATATCAAAGCTTGTGACTGTGGTCAGAATGAATTCAGGTAGATTCAAGAGTTCAAGTCAAAATGCTAGAAACCTTGCTGAAAAGAACTCAGAGTATTTTCGGTTGTGTAGAGAAATCAAAACTTCTTTAAATTTGAAGAAATAGATTTCACAAAATTGACCGTAAGTGTGAAACTTCTGCATGATAAGGAGAAATGAAACTGCCCTGAGGTTCTTTCTGTGACATATGATACCAAAAATAAGTAAAATAGTGAAAACTTTTAAATGGGGCAATAAGGAAATTAACTAGATGAAACATTGTAGAGATATTAAAATTATAATCTGGAGACTCAACAAAAACACAAACAATTGTGTACGTGGAAAAAAGACCCAAATATAATTATACGATTACAACTAGGCAGCATATTTTACTAAAATATTTTATAAAGTAGAAAAGACATGAAAGAATATGTAAGACCTCAGTTCCTCAGTTCTGATAATAGGGTTGAAGGATGGGAGAAGTTTATTCTTTTATGTTATAGTTAAAAACAAATATCAAATTTTTCTATAAACCAATATTTGGAAGTTCTGAACTCTGAAACTTTGGTAAGATGTTATTATTATGAATAATCCATTCATTTGTACAATTGTATTGTTTTGCACATCTTGATGCTCCTTGCAGAATTATCCGTAGGCAAGTAGTATTAGTCTTCTTGTGTGGGTACTAATGCTCTAATTAGATCTTGATAGATTATCATCTGGAAATCAGGATGCTTCAAAAAACTATGATTCCATATGATTCACAAGTGCAAACTTTTACGACTGACTGAGAAAATTATTAGGGGATTTAAAATTCCTTCTAAAGCTGGGATATATATACAGGTGATACTTACATGAACAAGAGGATATATCCTTTGGCAAGGACCACACCATTTTGCTGAAAATTCAACCACCACAAGTTTGCATCCGGCAGCTTTCAAAAATGTTTTTAATTCATCCTGAAACCAGAGCGTAAATGAAGAAACATGCATCATTATGAATCTCATAAAGCCTTACAGAGAATAAATGACAGTTCAGTTCTTTGTAAACCTAGACGAGGTACCTCACCCTATCATATCATTCTCCAGGAGACACACCTTTCCTAGAAGTCGCTGAGGTCACATATGTTTATTATTGTAAGTATACATAAGTGACCTATAAATCTGCATGATTGATTAGTAGCGTATTGACTAAATGGTGGTTGGTAATGGTAGGTTACCTCTGGGGAGAAGTGAGATTGACCAATGAAAGATAAGGGGTGGAGGGAGGGTCATGGTAGATAGTTGTTCAAGGTGGACATCTATATTTGGCTTCTTTTAACAAGGCCCTAAACACATATTAATAGTGAAATTTAAAAGGAGAAATGTAATCTAACACCTTGAATCATTTCTTGTTTTGTTTTGGGGGGTAATCATTACCAAAGCTGTAGTCAAACCATACATTTAAGCATTTGACATGCTTCTGGCTGAATATCTTCAGTGATTTTTCCATCAGCTATCCAGATCATCCAAGTAAAGGTTTCCCTTTCTAGAACCTCAGATCATTTTAAATTGCCTTGCTTTATGGACAATGACTGTCCATACTAGGTATATCATGCATGGCTTCTCTATCCAACAAGCTCCTAGAGAACTCGATCCTGATTCGGTCCCGAAACACCATGGCTTCTAACCTAGGCACATAGTTAGTGCTCATGGATTGTTTAGTTGATGAATGACTTGCTAATATATACTATTATGTTCAAGATTTACTTTTCCTTTTCTCACTGGAATTGCAACAATAGCAGCTAATTCACCCTGCACCTCTCCTTTAATCTTTACAACCAACCTCTGGAAGGGGTGTTAGTTTTATCTCCATTTTACAGGTGAAAAAACAAAAGGTCATTAACTTTCTCCTGATCAACCAGCTGGTGACTGGCGTAGTTGGTATTGCTAACCTAGGCAGCCTAATCCAGAGTCCCTTTCCCTCGCCACTGCACAAAATCATCTCCTGAGTTCTTCCTAGTAATGGAGTTCACGCTCCCTCTCACTGGCCCTGATTCTATCCTGTGCTCATCCTGGACCAATCATTAAGATGGGAGATGGGATCATAATTAATCAAGTCAAGCAGGGCCTATCACTGGAATGAGGGATGGGGCTAATTCCATACAAATAGCATACTGCTCTGTAATAGGGGAATCTTGACCATTACATTACCATTTAATTTAGTTCAAGCAGGTGAAATGGATGACTGGAGGAAGATAAATTCTCTTCCTTTACTCATATTCCTCTAGGATGGGGGTTACTTAATTCCTCAGAGAACCATACCAAGCCTCTGTTTCTCACTTGCTTCTGAACTTATACAGTAGATGCCCCTCACAAGCCCTCGACACCTTCACTTCTCAGCAGGTTCTAGGGTGTAAACTGGCCTAGCTGGATCTATGAATTTGACTTGGCTAAGTCCTCTGAAGGGAATACCCCCATAGGATACATATTGTTTTGAGAAGTACCTATTGAGACTGATGCTAGGCCAAGTAATGGACACACTGCTAGGAGACAGCTGCGCACAAAAAAACAGACAAACATTTCCCCGCCTTTATGGAGCTTATGTTTAGAAGCAGAAGCCAATGGTAAGATCAGTAAGTAAAATATGCAGTGTGTTAGTGATCATTGCAAATAAAGAAAAAAAGGAGAAAGATAAAGCAGGAAGGAAGGAAATGAACTGGATTAGACTTGTAGTCTGGGTGGCCATGGTCCATCTTGACTAGACGGTGACATTTTGGATACAGACATGAAGGAGACAACAGGTCCTCAGGAGACGTCTCTGAGGAGGAGATGGTGAGGGCTTCTCAGGGGGCTAGAGAGACCCTGGGTTATTCTGTGAGATCCCCAGAAAGTCAAAAAAAGAAGTACCATGTGCATTAGCAAATGTGTGCTATCTGAAAACATTTTCTTATGACAAATCTACACGGCAATGCCATCTTTCAATCTGGCCAGCCTCATTTTTTGTGACCTTATATATAGCTGGAACAGGGGAAAATGCCAGAAGGCTAAGTCTGAGGGTGCTGATGGATGGCAGGCCCAGGCTCTATGCCTTCCGTCTTCCCTCCATATAGAATGAGGGCTTTGTTAGGCAGAGTCCAGGATCTGCGCCTCAGGTAACAGGGCCCGGCATCAGAATATCTGGGTTCTAATGCCCATTTCACTCCTACATGGTATAGGATCTTAACCACTCCTTTAGAGGCAAATCTCTTCTTTATAAATAAAGAACTCTCCCTGACCTATCTATACATTTAGATTTTTTGTGGCAGTAACACTGGACAATGGATAGAAAGTGGTTTTATAAAATATCATCTAAGGAATTGTTGATACTGTTGGCTGTCATTTTTCCTACCCTATTCCATAAGCATGTCTGAGGCTTCTGTTTTCTAGAATAAGAGAAATATGTAGACTTTTCCTTTCATAGAATGTTCCAGGTGCAATTAAGGTGGAATCAGTGGCATCAGGCACAGGACAGGATGTGTTAGGAGCTGGCCTGGATCCAGCTACAGTCAGAGCAAGAAATGAGAATCTGGGAAGAACAAAACCCTTTGATCAATTTGTCCCTTGGCTATTCTCTAGATAGTGCCACAAAACAGAGAGCAAGACTTAAAAAATCTTCCCTTGCTACACAGCAGTGAAGGAATACTGATAGAGGGAGTCATTCTTAAAGTTTATCCAATCTGTTCTCAAGGTGTCTCCTTTGAAATATCAATGAAGCCAAATAAATACTTGCCATGTCTTTAATAATCTGAACCATGATTTACTGGGAATTGTTGACGAAACCTGCCTGTTGGTCCAGTCGACTCACTGTAGCGGTCTCTTATTAATTAAAGGATCCTAGCTGGGATAGAAGGGTCACTTCTCTATGACATCATTAAACGTGACATCTGAGAACCTAGAACTTTGGCAGACTTGAAGTCAATTGCACTTTCATGTCATGACTAGGTAGTCACCATGTGGCCAGCCAAGAACCATCCATCTCCAGGTCTTGTGTGCAAACTCCACAATATGTCTGTCTACTTTTGATCTTCATCATCTATTTCCATGGCCCTTCTTCCTTCTCCACCCCCTACAACCACCAAATGAGAAATAAGCAAGCCAATATTAAATGGGTGAAGATTATTTTCATTTAGGATTTTGAAGGGATTATTTTACACTTCAGAAAAATATTAAAGCCTTAATCCTATAATTGCAAGTTTCCTATGAGTTAGGTTTTTTGAGTCATAGATTCCCTAAACTTCGTTATTTTGCTCTAATTTTTTAGGAGGTAAGGAAAATTCACTTTTATGGACTGGATCATGGGTTGGCAAACTTTTTCTGTAAAGGACCAGATAATTTGGGCTTTATGGACCACAGGCACGTGGACTTTGTTGCCTATTCTTTGTTTTCATAATCCTTTAAGAATGCAAAAACCATCCTTAGCTGGCAGGCCATACAAAAAGAGCATTTTTGCCAAGTCTTACACATGGTGATTTGTCTCTTTTCAGAATTTAATGTTAGAAAAAAACCTACACATGGTGATTTGTCTCTTTTCAGAATTTAATGTTATAAAAGGGGATCCCTGGGTGGCTCAGTGGTTTATCTCCTGCCTTTGGCCCGGGGCATGATCCTGGGGTCCTGGGATCGAGTCCTATGTCGGGTTCCCTGCATGAAGCCTGCTTCTCCCTCTGCCTGCGTGTGTGTGTGTGTGTGTGTGTGTGTGTGTCTCATGAATAAATAAATAACATTAAAAAAAAAAAAAGAAAAAAACCCAAACAAGGACATGCCCAATGTTCCCCAAATCTTCTTTAGAGCAATAACAAGAAAAATAACAAGAAAATGAGTTGCAGAATTCTAGACTAACACAAAAACAGCAAAATCCTCCTTTCTGGGTTTTCCATACATCCAGTTAGGTCTCTCAGGAATGAGTTACCTGCCTTTCCTTTTTGTATCTATTAGATGAAGTATGAAGCATGCATATTCCCTTTATAGCCACAGGCCAACTCGGCTTTTGTAGCAGATACCAGACACTTCCCAGTACCTTCTTCCTCCACTTTTCACCAAAGACATACCGATTTTCCTGTGGGCAAATTTATCCCTCCTCCATTTTATAGCAGCTCTGCAGTTTGTGTGGGATTAATTTAACCCTAAATCCAGGGTTAGACCCCCATTATCTTGATTCAAGCAATAATCTTATCTTTAGGTCAAGGTTTAATGAAGAGAAAACAATAAAGCAAGAGAACGCCATTTCTAGCACTTGTGACAGAGTCAGTAAAACTTTCTCTTTCTCATCTGGATGGAACAAGATGCTGGCTGGCAACTCTTATAAAACACACAGGAAGCCAGTCTTTGTTTAAGGCTGATATTCCACAAAGATGTGAGGAGACACTGAAGAAACGTGGGGTTTTGGTGATACCTTGATCCACTGGATTAAGTGTGGTAGAAGCTTAAGCTAAGTCTGAAATTTTCATTTCCACAGTAAATTCCTTTATAGTTTAAACTGGATTAAGGTGGGATTTCTGATGGTTACCTGGAAAGAATTCAGACACAATATTTTAGAAATTCCTCCACTTGAGTCAAACTGCAAGCACTATGACTAACATCATCATGGGTGCTTAAAAATTTCTCACACAAGGTATGTAGTAATAGAGCAAAATCTAGCTTTAGGATCAGGGAATTTAATTTCTGGTTTCCAATATGTCCAGGCTCAGAATATTCATTAATGCTCTGAAATACCCAGGGGGAATGTGGAAGGAATATAGGAACATGAGCTTTGGACTCTGACAAATGTCATTTTTCCACTTTTTGATATATGATAGGTGCTAAACTTGGGTAAAATAACTTGGTTTCAAATCTGAGTGCCCTTCTGAGATCTTGAGCAAAGTTTTGCTTAATTCCTCATCTGTTGAAATGGGGATCATGTCCGCCTCCTGGGGCTATGGTGAGATGAACAGATATAAAAAATAAGTCTGGTCAAGTGTGTACAATTCCTAGCCCAAGCCAGCAGAGACATGCATTCCATTTCGGATTCCCAAGCTTATACTTCAGAAAGGGATCTCTTACCTCTTGGAGGATAGAAAGCAAACAGAAATTCAACGTGTTACCCTTCTGAACCGGCGGAACTCTAAAAAGAGAAACAAGGGCAGCCCGAGTGGCTCAGCGGTTTAGCGCCACCTTCAGCCCAGGGTGTGATCCTGGAGACCCGGGACCGAGTCCCACGTTGGGCTCCCTGCATGGAGCCTGCTTCTCCCTCTGCCTGTGTCTCTGCCTCTCTGTGTCTCGGTGTCTCTCATGAATAAATAAATAAAATCTTAAAAAAAAAATAAAAAGAGAAACAAAACCTAGCTGGCCACAAGCCTTTGATGGCATGCTACGTTGGCCGTATGGTAGTGTTGGCCAACATTTATGAACTAAATGTTTTAGGAATACACAAAGTCTCTTATTCACCTTGATAAAAGTCATAAGCTCTGGTAGCACTGGGCCTGTAGTCTTGTACTGCATGATACCTGTCAGGTGGAGAGTAGTGCTGCCCCTCTGGAGGGGGGAATACTCTTTCCGGTTAACCACTATTCCACCATCATCTACCCCTTTAAGAACTCAAGATGGAGTGGCAAGGTGCCTCGTTGTTGTGTGTAGCTATTCGACTTTCACTGCAATAGGTATTTGAGATATTTCTAATGTCTTTGTCCATTGTCTGTTTCATTCCTTTTTCTTTGCCTCTAGGGTGTTCTGCTTATTTATAAGACTTGCCTGGCTTCTCTTGGCATTTGACTTTGAGACACTTGATTCTGATGTTTCTACCATCAAAGCTAGGAAATTTTTTGTGCCCATGTATTGATGATCTTATTGTTTCCTTCTGCTTTTCTTTTTCATCCAAGAAGGAAAAATGGATGTTGACACATACTGAACATCCCCCCAGCCCCCAGTTAAGAACCACTACTTTGAAGCATGGCCTCTAGGCATCACTTTACTTAGGTTACGTTTCAAGTACCCAGTTCATTAAGGTGACTGTGTCTGCTCTACAGGTGAGATGATCAAGGTATAGTACTGCAAGTTTACATAACTTATCCTAATTGGAATTGATTTAGAATTTAAGTCTGGGTCACCTGTCACATAGAGAAGAACACAGGGCCAGCTAAAATATCCAGGTCTCTGAGCCATTTAACAATGGATGAACTGAACTTGGAGAGGGAATTTCTTTTTTTCTCTGCATCAACATGACATCCATTATTTCCATTTCCCTTTTCCTCATAGAATTAGCTCTTCTTGAACTTTGCTGCATTTGCAAAGACAGTAACACAGAATTAACTCTCAGGCTGCTGTACCAATAAACTCCTGCTGAGGCTTGCTGGAAGTTGGAGGCCAGTAGTTCTCTCTTTCAGTACTTGTAGACTTTTCCACAGAATTTGCTAAGCTGCTTGCTCAGCCCCAGGGAAGAGAGAGTACAAGTTGACAACTCACAGGAATGTGTTTATTCTTAACCAGAATTAAGCACTATTCAAACAAAGAAAAAGGCCAGGTTCATAAGAATGGACATCCATTTTTATGGTTTGCAGAGAAAACGCTTATACGGTAAAGAGGGCAACTTTCAAGTCCTAGAAAAAAGCTCCTGATCAAGTCTTTTCTAGAAAAGAGCAATCCAGCCTTCCCCTTTGCACTTGACTGCCTTCTTTGTTTCCCTGACATGCACTCACATGTCATTTTCCTAGACTCATTTCTGACCTCATTGTTGGAAGTAGGAGGCTTCGCTGTCATCTGGGTGGAGTTTCTGTTTGAGAAGTCAGGGGTGTGTGTGTGTGTCTCTGTGTGTTTTAGTTTACCCAGGGTGGAATCCTGAGAGTGGGTTGGGATTTTTAGGCCTTAAAAAAATTGACAAGAGAAAACAGAGAGTGAGCAGAAGTCGAGAAAAGAGGAGAAAAGTTGAGAGGAAATGAGAGAAAGGATGGGCAAAAGAAGACAAAGTGAAAAAAAATCTTAAAGAATAAAAAATAAGTAGATAAATCATATCTACACCTTACTTGTAACCTACCTCAGAATTTAAGGAGATATGGTAAGTACCGTGGGGCACCTGGGGGGTTCAGTTGGTCAATAGTCCGATTCTTGATTTTAGTTCAGGTCATGATCTCAGTGTCGTGAGATCAAGATCCACATAGGGCTCTGCACTGAGTGTGGAGCCCGCTTGAGATTCTCTCTCTCCCTCTCTCTCTGCGCACCCCCCACCCCCACCAAAGAATGTTAAGTGGCACAGACATAGGGAGATAACTACTAAGAAACTCAGATGATTATTAGTCTTATTTTAAGGAAAAAAAAGCCAGTTTTGTGCTCTTACCAAAAGCCCTGGTGACAGCTTCCCCTTTGTGGAGGTTTAGGCTTTGGCTGAGAGGGAGTAGCTCAAGGATATACATTCACCAGGGAAAGATCGAGGGGCTTCTCTAAAGTACTTCGCAGGAGAGGCAGACAACTGGTACTGGACCCACTACCAGAGTCTGGTACTGGGTACTCGGTAGACCAACAGTATCAGCATCACCTGGGAGTTTGTTGGGGGTGTTGGTGCAAAAAGAAGCTACAGGAATAACAACAAAAAGAATAATAAATGCAAGAAGGAATGTGGAAAGGAAACGGTATACAGGAAGGATAAAGGATTTACAACTAGGACTTTATGTGCAGGAGATGCGTGAATTCTCTTTAGTGCTGTAAGACCTTGCTAGTCAAGGTCACTTGTCAACACTGGGATCGCCTGGGAGTTTAATAACCACGCAGAACTTCATCCACTAAGAA